CGTGTTCAGTCGGATTGATGACCTCATTGTGTTCGGATGTGCGACGTCATTTATTCTCTCTCTCTCTCTCTTCTCTCTCTCTCTCTCTCTCTCTCTCTCTCTCTTCTCTCTCTCTCTCTCTTTCTTCCATTTTCTCTCTCTTGCTCTCCCATTCTCTCTCTCTCTCTCTCTCTCTCTCTCTCTTATGCTGGTTATTATTTTGTGTATTTTACAATCAGTTATTATTAGTACTAATGTAATTATTATTGATGTTATTATTACTAGGCTACTAGTACTGTGAGTACAAGTACTATGAGTATTTTGAAGGTCTAAATGAAAATGAGGAGTAAAAATGTTGTTTTCTTTTGCTGTTGTAATTGAGTAAAAGTACAAATATTCAATTTCAACATATCTTCCAAAATAATACCAACAGATTAAAAAATTTCTGTTATAAAATCTCAGACTTGTGGTGTTTTCCTACCTTTCAACAATGCACCTGATAACTATTGTGCTAGTAGCGCCCCCTTGTGGAGAATGCCACTTTGTCAGCAGGAGAAATGGTTGACACATTAAAGTTTGTGTCATACCAAGCCAAAGGCTGCTGTGGGATGAAGTTGGTAGCTCTGTGTAATGGTGTAATCTGGTAGGTATTTCAGTTCCCTGATTTCTTATTTTTTCTGTGTTTTAATATCTCAGGAGAGTCTAACATGGCAGAGAAATCTCTTCATAACGCAGCAGCAGGTTCTCTCTCGGAGCCTGGCGACTCTGCTAAGTATCAGCATGTCTCCCGTTTCCTACAGAGCCTGACTGATTGGTATGTACCAAATACAAACATACAAATATCCAGCACAATGTACAAATGTATATACAACGATAGAAATATGAAATATACATATGAATAACATTACTATGCATAAGCAATAAAACACATATATGGCATTTATTATGGCTTATCTTCCATTACAGCTGTGTTGCTAGTGGGTTAGCTTTCAAATTACTAATATTATGGTAACAGATCTGAATCCTGATTGGTTAATCCTGGTTCTTTAGCTGCTGGTAGCCAATAAAATGTGATGAAACAAGCTAACAGACATGACATTTCCCTCTAGGGTGGTTAAATATACAAGACTCAATAATGATGAATTTGTCTACATTTATGATCATGATTTTAGTGCAAATGTCGCTGTCTCTGTTACATTAGCACTAAATGGCTGTTCTCCTTTTTTAATCTTTCAGGCAACTACAAGTGATACTTGGTGGAATGCATCAAATGGTAAACTTTTATAATTCAAATACAATTCATTTATATTTTTATTTTAATATCATTATTGTGAAATCACAGCAGATGAACCCTGTAAGACTATGCTAGTGATGACTAATACTGTCAATATGTTCTTTTGCTTGAAGTTCACGAGGGGCGAAATCACCCCAATGAACATGGACATTGAGAAGACTGTGACCACATTGTCACAGAAAGTCATCATTCCAAAAGTATGTGAAGTTCTGAATGTGGATGCTAGGTCGCTTTTCCTTGTGAGACCAGGGTTCTCAAACCATTCTTTGGAGTCAGTCACCAAAGAGGTTCTGAATGCCATTGTGAAGACAGTCACTGACGCTCTTGATGATTCTCACGTGTGAGCTGTGTAGAAATGTGACAGAAAAGACTGAGCTCCTGGCATCTTCATGTGGGTCAGTTGAGCTCTGTAATTTGTCACTGTCTGTTGAGCCCAGTGCTGAGAGCTTGACGTCCAAAGACCAGGCACAACTTCAGGAATGTGCTAAAGATGTGATTCTTGAGGTTTACACCATCTATCGGGCCAAAGAACTCAAGAGTGCGTCAGATTTGTCTTGCCCTCCAAAGATGTGCGCGACAGATTTTGCAGAATGTTTGCTATCAGAGCTGGGTGACATGAAAACATCCTCTCGGAGTTCATCGATCAGTGATGATATCAGCTCTGATCCAGCCTGTGGTGCAAGTGACAGCATGGCTGATAAAGCACTCAAAAGAGCTAAGTCCTGTCATAGAATCCCCAGCCTCATGAAACTCACAAATATGGCTTGCAAGATGGAGACTTCTGTTCCTGGACAAACTCTGAAGAACGCGTCCTTGTATGCCAAAATTGTTGTGGATGAGCTGTTATTCCAACTGGACTCATTTACAAAGTCCGAGGTATCTGAGGATGCTCAGTCAGTACTTGGACAATGTACCTCTGATACATCTCTCATATCAGAGTTGCTTGTAGACCATTTAATGGCATACATCCAAGAGGTGTCAGGTTCATCCTTTAGAGACCGCATACCTGCCACTACTCTGGATTGTCGGGTACCTTCTTTCTGTCGAAGCTTCACAGCTAAGAGCTTCCAGAAAATCCAGAGTGAGGATACTCAGACCAAGGCAGCTCAGGAAGTGAGTAAAATCTTACTCGAGTCTTCAAGCTTCCTTGTGAGTTCTGCACATTCCCGGAATGCTCACACTAGCCAAAGACATTGCAGTGTGGAACCAACTCCGTCGGAATGCTTGGTTAAGGCCTTCGACCTCATCGATTCTGTCATCGATGGAATTTGCAAACGTCTGGATTCTGCATCACCCGATGTCCCTGAGGAGATTCTGTGGTACACTGCGTGTAGTACTGACAACAGTGCCATGAGACACCTAACGGATTTTTCTGCAGTGTATCAGCAGAAACCACCTAAGGTCAATCCTTTAGAGATCAGTGTTGGGGGAACTGTTGGTAAGAAATCACACCTTGAAAGACCATCAGTGATCGATGAACACGAGCCACTCAAGAGCAGAGAGAGGGTTTCAATGGCCTCTTTACTGGACACCATGATGGCCTACCTGGGTTTACAGAGCTCAGGTCCTTTTAACTCTCTTGAGGAGTTATCTGCAGCAGCAGAAAGAGTGGAGGACCTGTTTTCGACCACAGCCCCTCAGGAGTTGGCCAACATGGTCCAGCTCATACTGACAGACAGATTAAGTTCTCTGAACATGTCAGCATCTGTTCTACAGCACTACCCTTACCTACAACGACCCTTTGCTTCTGAGTTTCTTGTTGAATTTGCAGACAAGGCGGTGAAATGTTTGCTCAGGTCTTGCATTGCTCCCTCAACCAGCTTCTACCACTGCTAACGGCATTCCAAGTCTGGTGATGCCCTTCAGAGTCACTCCTGAGAGTTTTGAGATCTCAAGACCCCCATCTGAGGTGTTTGCTGACAAAATGGATCTGTTCTCCGAAGTAATGGTGAACAGTGTGATGGACAAAGTGTCAGCACTGTCCGATCATGAGTTGGGATGCTGTGGATTCAAATGCTGAAGAGACACCTGAAAGTGACTCACACAGCTCTGAAGAACTCAATGCATCTTCTCCAACCATTTCCGTGGATGCTCTCCGTTGTTGCATACGTGCAATATTACACAAAGTACAGGAGATTTCATCCACTGGGGTCCTTGGATCTCCTCTCTTAATTGATGAGGACCAGGTACAGAATGTTACAGACATGGTCAAAGGAATTTTAGCCCTTTTCACTACTGTCACAGTAGAGGATGGAGAACACGCACTCAAAAAACTTCACCGCTCCATCATTGATGCTGTGTACGCACAGCTTCTTCTGAGAATGAGATCCGAAAATCAGCTCATTGACACAGTAAAAGCCCAGAGTGAGCTGTTGGCAGGATCTCTGGCTGTCTCCATCGTCAGGGCAATTAAGAGTGCAGACCCTAAAGACTTGTACCATCCTGCATCGGTTGAGTCTGGTTCCTCTCCCTCTATCAAAGAGGAACGTTTGGTCCCCAGCCAGACCATTGACAATGTTTTTTTATCAAGCCAAGTCTCAAGCAGAGGCTTGCTTACATCAGAAACAAAAGATCATGCCATCCTGGCAACTTGGCTTGTTCTTCGGCACAGTCAGCAGCAACTTCATCAGACCTGAGAAAAGAAGCAAGCTCGAACGATCCGAAAGAGCTGATTGAGGGAATTCTCAGAGAGCTCTCTGCATCCTCTAGTGCTGAGGTTAATAATTGTCTCAAATGCTGTGAATAGACCTTGGAGAAAAAAATAGTGCAAGAAAAAATGTAGGGTATGGGCCCTTCAGAAGATACACAGAAAATCTGACTCCTAACAATTGTGCAAAACCTGGTAGACACCAAAACTGTCCCCATCAGATAAACAACACTTAAAGCTTTCATCTTTGAGAGAGAGGAGAAAGTCAAGCTGCTTCAGATCTGAAAACATCCACAGGTGTTTCTGTCCAACCTTCAACTGTGAGAAGACAACTCAGTGCTATGGGTTTGAAAGGATGTGTAGCTGTCAAGAAGCCCTCACTGAGAAAAGGAGATAGACAGAACAATGTATTGACCAGGCCAGACCTAAACATCACTGAATGTGTCTGGGATTGCTTGGATTGTAAGAAGCAGAAAATGCTAAACCAACTTCTAAGACTGAACTTTGAAAGTTTTTTTCTGGAAAACTAAAAGTGAGTCTCCCGAGCAGAATTGAAGCTATAATAAAGATAAAGAGCAGACACACTAAATACTAACTAAATACTAAAAATGTTGATATTGGAGATAGTTTTGAAGTTTCTACATAAATGTTTTAAAATTAATAACTTGTATTTACTGGCCCCTTCGACTGGAAATGAAATACTGAAGGATGGTCTTTGACTTTTGTACAGAACTGTAACTTACCACTTTACTAGCAATGCATGTCTCTGTACTTTCACTCACTTTGATATCCGCCTACCAGTCCACATTATAGGTGTACAGTGACAGATGGTAGCCCATCTGTTGTCATGCACTATTTGTCAGCCAGCCTCAGACCCATTCATCATTGGTCAGTTTCTGATCACAGGGCTGCTGTTGGCCAGATACTGTCCAGCCGTGAGCAGTTCTGTGTGCATCAACAGATAGACTACAGTCTGTAATGTCCAGCATGATGAAGCTACAAGACAGGAGTTTCTGATAAAGTGGCTCATGAGTGTAGATCTATAAAGCGTGATAAATACTAACAAAAACAGTTTCATACCTCCACAGAGAATGATGGCGGCGATGAAAAGTGCCAGGTCACAGTCCTCCAGCTCCAGTGTATTGAACTTTGTTGAAAACTCAAATTTTGGCTCCATCATGTCACAGAATGGCTTCCGCACGCTCTTGAGGAACTCTCGGGTCACAAAGACATCACCGTAGGCCATCAACGCACCGTCCTTATTGGTGAAGTTTACCAGGCAGATGATCAGCACCTCAATAACGCTGTATTTTAACATGGTCACTTGGTCATTTATGTCCAACTTCGTGAAGCCTGGGATGCTCTTGGCGAACTTGGTGACCTGCTGGACTCCTGCAGCCTGACGGAACTGGACTTGACGGAAGAAGGAAAGTTCTACCTCCTCGCTGAGCTCCTGAGATGGGAGCGGCTCAGGGGTCAGCATAGGGAGAGGAGGGGTCTGTATGGAGTTTAATATTTCCTGCCCAGCTATCAGAGACTTCATATCATGGATGACAAAAGGCTGATGGAGGGAAAGTTTATTGTAATTATTGTTAATAATAAAGGGTGTAAAAATCTGAATCAGTTGTGGAAAATTAGAATCAATTATGATCAAACTATGTTCAATGAAGTGCACATTTTTTATTGTATAGATTTGTCTAATGCATTAATAGTTCCCTCAGCCCTGTTTGTGTATAGCCTTTAAAAAGGGCTCTTCAGGGGTTCTTTAGTAAAATCAGTGGTTTCATACAGAACCATGCCAACTCAGGGAACCATTTGAATTCTTAAATGTTCTTAGCTTGGTTAAATAATTCTTCGTCATGACGGAGAAGCTGTGAATGGTTCTTTGAAGAAACTTCAACAAATTTTTTGTTATACGTTATTCAGTGTATTTTTAAAAAATCATTCTAAATTCTACCAAAACGACTGAATTGAATCAAGTTGTGATTAAATTTGAGATTTCACATTGCATTGAATAATTTCTGAAATGATAATAATCAAAAAGTCCAAAAGTATCCAAACACACCTTCTAATTAGTACAGCCCCATTTCCAAAAAAGTTGGGGCGCTGTGCAAAATGTAAATAAAAACAAAATTCAATGATGAGCAAATCATTTAAACCCTATATTTAATTGAAAATAGTACAAAGACAGCATATCAAGTGTTGAAACAGGGAAATTTTATTGTTTTTTTAAAAATATATGCCCATTTTGAATTTGATGCCAAAAAGACGTTCCAAAAAATTGGGACGGGGCATGTTTACCACTGTGTTTTATCACTTCTTCTTTTAACAACAGTCTGTAAGCGTTTGGGAACTGAGGAGACACTGCTGTAGTTTTGAAAGTGAAATGTTTTCCCATCTTTGCTTAACATGGGATTTCAGCTGCTCAACAGTTCAGGGTTTCTAGCCAGTTTGTGCCCAGAGTCTTTTAATACGGAGCCATGCTGTTGCAATACATGCAGAATGTGGTTTGACATTATCTTGCTAGGCCTTCCCTGAAAAAAATGTTGTCTGGATGGCAGCATATGTTGCCAAAGCATGTCTGTATCGTTCAGTATTAATGGAACCTTCACAGATGTGCCAGTCACCCATGCCATGTGCACTCATGCCCCCCCATGCCATCATGAATACTGGCATTTTAACTTTAAATGAGCTCAGGCCCAGAGAAGGTGGCAGCATTTCTGGATCTGGTTTATGTACAGTTTCTTCTTTGCGTTTTAGAGCTTTAATTAGCATTTGTGGATGCAGTGCTGAAGTGTTATCACAGACAGTGTTTCTCAGAAGTTTTTCTGAGACCATGTAGTGATTTCCACTACAGAATCATTTCTGTTTTTAATGCAGTGCTGTATGAAGGCCCAAAGATCATGGCCAGCAAATACTGGTTTTTGGCCTTCTCTGAATCTTTTAATGATATTATGTACTGTAGATGATGAAAATCAAAAGCTCTTTGCTATTTTATGTGGAGAAATGTTATTCTTGAATTGTTGCACTACTTGATCATGCAGTCTTTCACAGAGTGGTGAACTCCTCCTCATCTTTACCTCTGAAACCATCTCTGATGCTCATTTTTTCCAATCATGTTACTGACCTGTTGCCAATTAACCATTTTTAAGCATTACACAAATTGTTGCCCCTGTCCTGAATTTTGGAACATGTTGCTGGCATCAAATTCACAATAGGCATATATTTTCAAAAACAATAAAATTTCTCATATGATATCTGATAACAACATCTGATATGTTGTCTTTGAAGCATTTTCAATGAAATATAGGGTTTAAATGATTTGCACATCATTGCATTTTGTTTTAATTTTCACAGCGTCCCAATTGTTTTGGAAATGAGGTTGTAGATTTTTCTGTTAACCATTGGAGTCTGGAGCAGTAACATCCTCTGGAAAGATGAAGCTCCTCAGTGTTCTACTGAAGAATAGAATGAGTTTGAGAGATAAAGTTTGACAACTTCTTAATGAGTTACAGAGATGTAGCTCCTAGTGTTGTACTAAAGACTGAGACCAAGACACATCCAACTCAAGACCAAGTCTTTTAGCAGTCAAATCAGATATATATACATAAGTGTCTAGAGGCCAGCACCAGCCAGTAGCATGTTGAAACAAAATATGTATATCTTAAAACATTATTATTTATTACTTGATTAGTCTTTGAACTCTGCATTGTATTTGAAAGCAGTAGTGAGGTCATTCTCTGTCCTTCTTCTCTAAAATATTTTCACCACCTAAAGGCGAACATAAGCTAAACTACATCAATTTTTTTTAAAAATGAAAACATCATAGTAATAAGATTTTGATCAGCACTGAAACTTTGTGAACTTTGGAATAAATGAACATCAACAAACCGTATTCAGTTAAGCCATCCTAGAAAGGCTCAATTACACCCTCAACAAACAGATTTTAGCTTTGAACAATTTACATGTCACTTGGAGACTAAACACAGTGAATGTGTATCGGAAGCTGTCAAATTGTGCCAGAGCTCTGATTGCAGCTTTCCTGTATTCAGCCTGACATCCAGCACGTGGTAGCTGCCAAATCAGCCTTCTCATTAGGTGAGTAAAAAAAAAGTGGGCAAAATACAAGGAAGCTTTTGTGGCCGCTTGTGTGGACCGTAAGTTGCAAATGTTTGTGAACCCTTGATGATTCTGGTTTTGTTGATATTCAATAATAATTCAGCTTCCACTTACTTCAGACAGAGTTATCATGCTCGCCTGGTCTGGACAAGAATTTCCAAATCCTCTTTACCAAGACTAGACCTAGTCTAAATGAGGATGAGACTGAGACGAGACGGAGACTGGACATCTACAACTCTAGAAGCTCCAGTGAACACCTTGGGGTGAGTTAGATCACGTGTCAGGCTCCAGTTCTCAGGGACCAAAACACTGCAGACTTCAGCACATTTAATGCCTCATTAAACACACCTGATTCAGCTCATCAGCTAATTTGCAAGGCCTTCATGAACTAAATTCATAGCCTTAGATGAGGGTAAACATTAATCTCTGCAGCACTTTGGCCTGGAAGATCTCCAGTTTGACATGCCTGAGTTAGAGTAATTAAGCTCCAGTGAACATTTCTGGGATAAGTTAGAGTAAAAAATCTCCACTGAACACTTTTAAGAAGAGTTGGAGTGATGGAGATCCATCCAGCACCTTTGAGATGAGTTGGAGTGATCCAAACCTAATTAATGATCGAACTAATGTTTAAATCCTCACAGCAATGTTCCAACATCTAGTGTACAACCTTTCCAGAGGATTAACTTCCTATTAATACTGGATAACAGAAGAAATGCTTGACCATGAGGTGTCTGGCTACTTTTGGACGTACAGTAAAAATGTGTCTGGATCTTACCGTATGTTCACCATCCTTTCCTGATAGAATGGCCCTTGCTTTGCTTTTCGTCAGAGGGAAGTGTTTGAGGTAGGAATCATATAAGTGCTTGGCAAGAGCCTGCAAATTTGCAGATTGTGGGTCCAACTGGCCTACTTCTGTGCGGAATTCTGATATCAGCCTGTCTTTCTCAGCTAGGGGCGTTCGACCAAAACGAATAGCTGTGGACACAGAGGGAGAGGTGAAGAGAGCCATACTGGACATCTGTTCAGCCACAGTGGGAGGCGTTACTAACAATATTTAACTCCTCTGCAGGTTGTTTTTATGGACATACAGTCCTGCCCTAAAACACGATTGAATGTAGGGGTAATCAGGACTCAGAATTCAGGACATGAATTAAATTTAGAAGATGTTTCTAAATAAAGCTTAGCAGGTTTCCAAATGCACGTGAGCTTTCTGAATTTAAGCAGTGCATGGCTGCTTTAATATAACTGGGAATGCTGTATTTGGCACCAAATGGTGCTTTAATAACTTTACAGTTTAGCATTTAGCATTCAGAGCTCCTACACAATTATTATGGCTAAGCCATAACCATAACCATAACCACTGTTTAAGCCAAAACTCTTTTCAGTCGGTAGAGGCCATATTCTGTTCAGGCTGCTTAACACCTCCCAATTTAAAAGGAAATTTCCCCATTTTTCCAAAATGTCTGCATAATTCAAATGTAAACAAAGTCATTCAGAGTGGTTTGGTGTGAAATGGTTTATTGTAGAGAAACTTACCACTCAGATTTCTTTACAGTGGAGGTGATAGGAACCAGGGGTCGGAATCTCTACAACACAAATATAGCCATTTTATTTTTATCCAATACCACCAGTGAACCTACAGGCATCTTCTGAGTTTTATATGTAATGCTGATGATGGTAAAATAGTGAAAAACCTGAAAAAAAGGTTTTCTTGGGGACTATTTTGCCTCACAACACCATGAATGACTTTAAAAAGACCTAAATCTTCTTTCAAAACTATCATAAAACAGTATTTCAGGCGTCATAACTTCCTGTAATATAGCTTTTAGAGGCATTAAACTCTTCAGATGTCTGGTTCTTATCACCACCACTGTAAACAATTCTGACTCGTAAGTTTCTTCAGAAGGAAATATTTAACATTAAGAAACTGATTGACCTTATTGACATCTTTACCATTTAATTATGCAGTAATCACAGAACAACCATAAAAACCTCGTAGTGCTAGTGGATAAAGTATGTGAACCCTTGAGTTAATGATCTCAAAAAAGCTGATTGGAGTCAGGTGTTAGCATACCTGGAGTCTGAAGGTGTGAACTAGAGCTATTTTCACTGATAAAAATCACTCAAACTTTTTAAGTTTGCTCTGCACAAGAAGGATACGCGTATGTGAGCCATGCCTCGCCAAAAAGAGCTTTCAGAGGATCTACGATCAAAAATTGTCGATTTACATAAAGCTGGAAAGGGTTACAAAGTGATTTCAAAGACTTTAGAAATTCACCAGTCTATAGTAAGGCAAACAATCTACAAATGGAGACAATTTGGGACTGCCAAGAAGTGGGCACCCAGTCAAAATGACCCCAAGAGCACAACGGAGACTCATCAATGAGGTAAAGAAACAACCCCGAGTAACAGCCAAAGATTTGAAAGCGTCATTGGTGCAGGCTAACATCTGTGTTCATGAGTCTACAGTCCGTAAAACCTTGAACAAACAGAGTGTCTATGGCAGGACACCACGAAGGAAGCCGCTGCTTACTAAAAAGAACATTGCTGCACGCCTGAAGTTTGCAAAAGAGCACATTGACACTCCACAACAGTACTGGCAAAACGTTTTGTGGACAGATGAAACTAAGACTGAACTATTTGGAAAGAACACGCAGCGCTACATCTGGCGTAAAAAAGGCACTGCACATCACCATGAAAATATCATCCCAACCGTAAAGTGTGGTGGAAGGAATATCATGATTTTGGCCTCCTTTGCTGCATCAGGGCCTGGGCAGCTTACAATCACTGAGGGGAAGATGAATTCCCAAGTGTATCAAAAAATTCTACAGGATAATATGAGAGTGTCTGTACATCAGCTGAAACTCTGTAGATGTTGGGTGATGCAACAGGACAATGACCCAAAACACTGGAGCAAGTCCACAACGGAATAGCTTATGAAAAACAAAATCCGCCTTTTGGAGCAGCCAAGTCAGCGCCCAGATCTCAACCCTATAGAAATGCTATGGATTTACTTGAAGAGAGCCGTACACATGAGGCGTCCAGGGAACATGACAGAGTTAAAGCAGTTCTGCCAGGAAGAATGGGCTAAAATTCTTCCTGAACAATGCGCAGGTCTGATCCACAGCTACAGGAAGCGCCTGGTTGATGTTATTGCTGCCAAGGGGGGGTCAACCAGCGATTAATTCCAAGGGTTTACTTACATTTTCCACTACCACTTTGAATGTTGAATGAGTGTGTGCAATAAAGACCTGCAAGATCATATATTTTTTTGTGTTATTATTTTAGCCACATTATATTTGTCAATGCACTTGACTTGAATGAGGATCAGATCACATTTTATGACAAATTAATGCAGAAAACCATAAAATTCCAAAAGGTTCACATACTTTTTCTTGCCACTGTATATATGTATGTATATATAAATATATATATATATATATATATATATATATATATATATATATATATATATAGAATCTCCACTTTTGGTTCCCCTACAGAACCTTTGAATGGATCTTGTACATGAATTGTGTTAAATTGTGTTATAAATTAAAGAACCTCCACATAATGTTAAGATTTTATATAAACTAAAAGCTTTTTCCTAGAACAGTACATTCAAGCCAAGAAACTTTGGGAATCTATTTTTGAGAATTTACACAAATAAGTAGTGACTAATAGTGACTTTATTGAAATGTGTACTTCAGTTCCACATATTTCATCAACCAGTTATGTTCAAAAGTAAGTAAACTGAAAGGCAATATATTTTATTCATGTGAAACCAAGATTCACATTTAAATCAAGTCAATTCAAAGCACTATTTTTCCAGTGTGGGCATCTTCAGTCTAGAAAGAAGTCATAAAGTTATACATGAAATTCACACTGTGACCTGCCAGTAAATGTACAGCATTTTCACTGAAGGTATATGTGCAGCAGAGTTCTGTTCATCGAGCGCTGAAACCTACCAGCGTGTGACATTCCTGCCAAAATACACTTCTTGAAGCGACAGAACTGACACTTGTTCCGGCTCTTTTTGTGAATGCGACAGTTCGAGCCGCAATATTTGTACATCAACTTTAAGTGAACCGTTCTCCGAAAAAAGCCCTGAAAGAGAGCACATTACAAAATATTAGAAAAACAAAACTATACACTATACACAGTACCAGATTAAACTTAAATATGGCGTTTTTTCAGCATAATTTCTATTTATTTCTGAGTTTGACATGATACAAAAAAATACAACACAAAATAAAAAATGTGCCATAACATTTACACAGGCCACTTTTTTTAATTCAGCAAATAAACAGTTGTTGTGCATTAAAATGTGCAGAAGTTTGTTCTCTGTAGAGGAAGTGATAACTTATTTACACTTAGAAAATTTAACAATATATATATATATATATATATATATATATATATATATATATATATATATATTTTACTTTAATGTAAGTCAATGGAACCAAACTTTTGTCCAAGTCATTTTGGGCTGTTTTATTTATGGTCTATTCATTATGAAATTTACACACAATGTAAAGGTCAACAGACAAAAACTGAAAAACGACAAAAGTGGAGATACAAGGTTTGACAGCAGCGATATATACAGGGTGATTCAAAAAGATTCATCCAATTTCAAAGCGCCATATTTTTACAACCGTGAAAGAGGGGGTCATAGAGTTTCTGAATGTCACCGGAAGATGGCTCCCTTCAGTTTGCGAGGAGATGGCGACCCCTGAACACAAAGCGTTTTGCGATCTCTACTTCAATAAGAATCTTTTTGAATCACTCTGTATATCTCATAAACTGGTATCTCTATTTTTGTTGTTTTTTGACATAATTTGAAAATGGCCCTTTACATTGTGTGTAAATGTAATGATGAATGGACCAAAATAAACAGAACAGGTTTTGTTCTGACAGCAGCAAAATTTTATCAAGTCAGTATCTGCTACTGGCTGCTTGTTACTACTTTTAAGCAATTACTAGAATTAATTAACATTTTCAAGATCTCTTTTATTTCTCTCTTGTACATCATCACATTAATGCTGCATTCACATGTTTGCAGTAGATGGATGACAGCTGGATATTCTGTTGTTTTCAAAGGAGCCGTGATGGAAAATTCTGTCAACTTATCAAAAGTTCAGTTTTACCAATTTTTGCTGACTGCAGCAGTGCAATAAATTAGATGTTGATTTCAACCAAAGACCCAAATGTCACGCTGTTCAGTTCCAGACGAAACCAGTTTTGTAAAACAAACAGAAGAAGGCACAGAGCATCCTTCTGCTATTTTCCACCTTAAATAAGCTACACTGCTAAAGCTCTCCTCTGTTTATCATCCATTTAGCTGGCACTGCAGTCACGGCACCAGTTGTGTGGCTTCATGCTAGCGTTGGCCACGTATCGCTATGAGTAGAACGCAGACATGTGAAGGCATATGTTGTGGTTCTTAATACTCAAATTTATTTTTTTTCTCAGTGATACAGATATCTAAACGCTAGAAATCATAAGGATTTAAATCACACCATTACCTTACATCCTTCACATACATGGACTCCATAGTGGTACCCCGAGGCCTTATCACCACACACTTTACACTCTATGTTCTGCAAAGCACTGAACACGTCTTTGTGAGGTTTTGCATATGAAAAACTGCTTTCTGGAGGCTTTGGAGCCACCTGTCTGGAATCTGAATGGGGAGAAAGAGTACAGAAAAAGAGAATTTTTTTTAAATTGGTCATTACTAAAAAAAGTTTCTTTTTTTTAATCCCCTCTATCAGAAGTGAGTAGAGTAGCTTGAACTTGTTCTCAATAGTAAAAAGTGCCTTTCTAAAGTGCTGCTCCATTCTTTTTTGGATCCTTTAGGTCACAAAGTAAAATAATAACCCTTCAAAGTGAGATGTGGGACCAATCACAATGTAGTACACATACTGTCACCAACAGAACCGAATAAAATTATAAACTCAGAAAAAGAATTAGCATCAGAATTGTAGTACAGAACTGAGTAAATGAAGTTGGCTTCCATGCCTTTGCTGGGTATTTTATATGAGGGTGAATTTTTCCTTTTGCCATAATATTTGCACAGGCCACATTTAATGTGTACAACTGTATAAACTGTACATTGGAAATGGTGCAATATTGGTGTATATTAATGTGTATATTTACAGCCTAATGTGTATATATTCTTTTAAGTACTTTAAGTACTTTATATTTTTTGTATTTACCTAAGATTTTCACTCACCTTTGCACCTGTGTTAACATGATTTAAATAGGCTTGATTCCCCAAGGTCAGCAAATAAATTGACCAGGGGTGCCCAAACTTTTGTTTATGACTGTATGTATATGTTTTTTTGTGGCTTTATAGTAATTGTAATACAATACACAATGTACTATCTATCTATCTATCTATCTATCTATCTATCTACATTTTTGTTAGAGGACTATGCCTAGAATGGTGCTATATAAACTTCTACACAAAATAAAAACAAGCAGTATACTTAATTATGACCTTCCTCTGCTGTTTACTACAGGTAATTTAATCAGATTTTGTGTAAAACAAACAAATAAAAACATCATCTGTGCATTCTGAATTTTGTAATTCCTAAAGAAAGTCATGTTTCTGAGAGGAATAGTAATTCTGTATTTGAATAAATTGAATATAAACCCATGAATAGGTGATTTAACACAACCTTATCATCCACTTCTGCTGATTGCCTTATCACATTTATGAATACATGCTGTAATCTTGCAATTACCAGAAAACATTTGTACGTCTTGAACTCCAGGCGAGCTTTCAGTGGCAGCTGGCAGTCTACCAGCTTCAGATAAGCAAGCTTTTCATACACAGAGGTGGCACACATTGGCATAGAAGATTACAGTGCTTTTCTTCTGTGGAGTGTAGAATCCCTATCAGCTCAGGAGGGAGTGCCATGCATTTCAAAAACCAGCATTAACATCAGGGCTTCAGTCTGACATAGTGGTCTTACTGACTGACGTCTGACTAAGCAGAGAGCTATGATCTGAGGGCAGTGGTAGAAACAATGGGCTTTCTGGATCTCGTTCCCACGCCTGATGGTTCTTCATGGATTCTTTAGTATAGAAAATAATTCTATAAAGAACCATGAACACTCAAAGAACCCTTTGCCTGATTAAGGTTGCATCATTAAATGGTTCTTCTTCAAATTAACAAAGAATGCACTATATATCGTTCTATATAGAATCTTTTTGAAAAGGGTTCTGTGTAGCACCAAAAAGGGTTCTTATATTGTTACAGTGTCAAGCTTGTAACAATAGACGAACCTCTTTGGTGCTACATAGAACCCTTTTCAAAAACGTTCTATATAGAACCATCTACAGCACATTCTCATTCGGTCTGAAGAACCCTTTCACAATGCAAAGAACTATTTAATCATGCAAAAGGTTCTTTGAGTGCTCACGGTTCAATGAAGAATCATTTTCTTTACTAAGAACATCTTTTTTAAGTGTGTACTTGAAGTACATATCACTCAGTGAAGTATCTTTGAAGCTACTTAACACACTAGTGTGGAACTACTTTACAGAACATTTTAAGTAAATGCAACATTTTATTTTTAGTTTGGTGTGAACTGAGAGAAACATGTCATGACACATGGGCTTTTTCATTTGGGATTGACCAGCTCCAGCTCCATCCACTCATTACTATGAACACCTGCAGCATGTTTCCAGAACTGATTAGTACCTCTATATGTTCCTGAGTGGCTGGTCTCAGCCCTTGCAATATCTGATCTGCAGTTTGTGCAGTTCTAACCCTGATTAAAAGGGGGGGTTCTGGCTGTGGTTTATCATTTTGGTTTAACAGTCAAAGAACTGTTCAATACTACATCCTTTGAATATATTGCTTTGAAGGATGTTTCCTCTTCGCCTCTGTCGTTGTTGTTAGTTTATCTCCCTCCCAAACCTGCTGCTATCTTCTTGTCAGTCCTTAATGAACACCTCACAATCATCTCATCTCTTTGCTTTGCCGTAATTGTGCTTGGTGACTTTAATATCCATGTCGATACTAAATGCTCTTTCACAGTATTAGAGTGTTTTAACTTGATACAGCATGTTGATTTTCTAACTCACGTTCATGGTCATATTCTTGATTTACTCTGTTCCACTGGTTTGAATGATATCTCTGTCTCTGGTTCAGTCTCAGGGATCTCTGACCATAAGCTAATTGAATGTAGCTTCATATTTCTACTCCCCTCTGAGAAATCTCTATTGTCTATCGTGATATTAGGTCTGTCAATCACAATCTCTTTGCTGCTTCTCTTCAGTCTTCAGCCCTGTCTCACCTACACAACCTATCATCCCCTGACAGTATGGTTTCCCTCTATAATGACACTATCTCTGGATTGCTTAATGACTTAGCCCCTTTAAAAAAACGGACTTCTCCCAGCCACCCACATTCTTTGGCGTCTTGAGCGCCTTTATAAAAAACTGGCCTTACACAAGTATAGAGATGCCCCTAATACTGCCTGCTCCAACTACTACTCCTGCATCATGAATGGTGCTAGGTCTAGGCCAAAAACACTCTTTAGAATTTTTAATAAACTCCCTCATCCTCCTGTGTCAGTATGCCCCTATTCACCTGAGCAGTGTCAGGCATTTCTACATTCCTTTGAAAACAAAATTGATCAAATCTATCATTTACTTTCTTCTCAGTCACTCACCTCTACTAATTTTCCTACTCTGGGCACAAAACTAACTTGTTTCACACCTGTTGACTCATTGTCTGTCTCTGAACTCATCATTAAGTCTAATACTTCCTCCTGTCAGCTTGACCCTGCCCTCACCCTTTTACTCAAGGTCTGTTCATCTGTAATAAAAACTCTAATTGCCACAGTGATAAATTCACATCTCTCTTCTAGTTTTGTTCCTACTGCCCTTAAAACTGCTGCAGTTACTCCCATACTTAAGAAGCCTGAACTGGATCTGTCTTCTCTTTCCAGTTACAGACCCATCTCACACCTACCCTTTCTAGCTAAAGTAATGGAAAGAGTGGTTGCTTTGCAACTCCAGACCTTTCTCAGTGATAATGCACTCTATAAGCCATTCCAGTCTGGTCTCCATACACACCACAGCACTGAGACAGCTCTTCTGCGTGTGGTTAATGATCTTTTCCGGTCTGCTGATAGTGGTTATCTCAGTATTCTTCTTCTCCTTGACTTAAGTGCAGCATTTGATTTTTTCTCATTTTTTTTTCTCAATTGGTATCAATGATACAGCTTTACACTGGTTCAGGTCATTCTTACAAACAGACAACAGTTTATCACACTAGGTCCACACAAGTCCTCCACATCTCCTGTTACATGTGGTTTCCCTCAGGACTCAGTTCTTGGACCCCTACTTTTCCTAATCTACATCCTACCCCTTTGGCCATATCATTCGTAGCCATGGCCTTAACTTTCACTGCTATGCTGATGATATTCAGTTATATCTCAGTACACACTCCCCCTCAGATTCCCCTCCCAATACACTGTAATACACTAGAACTGTATTTCCAGTGGTAAACATGGATAAAACTGAAGTTTTACTGGTTGTGCCTAAATCTTTACTATCAAAATCATCCAATTTTCTGTTTGTATTGAAGGTTTGCTTATTAAGCCTGCACCTGTTGGCAGAAATCTTGGTGTTTTACTCGACCCATCAACCCTTAATTTTGGTCTACATATCAAGTTCCTCACAAAGACTGCATTCTTTCATTTACGTAACATTGCTTGTCTCCCGTTCCTGACTAATAATGATGCACAAACTTTGGTTCATGCCTGCATTATGTCCCGTATTGATTACTGTAGCTTCCTCTTTGTTGGTCTCCCTGTAAAGTCTATACAAAACCAGTATACAGTATATTCAGGACTCTGCAGCCAGAGTTCTCACCCATACTAAGCGTTCAACTCACATCACCCCATTCTCTCTCAGCTACACTGGCTACTGATCCTGTCCTGCATGAAGTTTAAAATTTACTACTCAGTCTCAAAGCTCTGCATATACCTTGCTCCCCTCTACCTCAGAGAACTCCTGACCTCTTACTCTCCCTCTTGCTCTCTCAGGTTTTCTTGTAATAACTTACTTGCTGTCCCAAGCTCCAGATTTTCCACTTTGGGAGGGAGGTCATTCAGTGCCTCCTCTTTTTTTACTTTCAAATCTGATTTAAAGACTTCTTTTTCATGAGCATTTCTCTTTGTCCTTTACTGCTTAGGGTACTGATTCTTAGGGATTTTTTGCCTTTAGTTCTTTGTTATGTAAAGCAACCGTGGGATTGTGAAAGGCGCTATTTAATGTAACTTGGGCTAACAGTGATTAAATACTGCAGACGCTTTTGCTTTGCCTCAAATATGAATCAGCTGGTGATCTTCCAGCAAGAATGAATTGAAATCCCATAATTAATTGCGATGCTATGATTAATAAAGCTGCTACAATGAAAATAACAATTTACATGAAGGCTATATCAGCGAAATAAGATCAGATCATTTGAGGTAGTCTTTGGCTTTATTATAGCTCATGCCCAATTATTATTTGAGCTTGTCTTTGGCTTTTTTTAAAGGACTACACATTTGTTAATAACCAACTATATCTCATAAAGAAAGAACAACACATGTTTATTGTGTTTATGCTTAGCACTGTTGAGCTGAGCTAAGTCGAGTATTGTGCAATGGAACATCAAGAACCTTTTTCCCAAGAATGCAAGTCCGTTCCTGGTATTGAGAATCTCCCATGAACATATGAGTTCCTCAAAGCAGACTGTTTGCTAAGAAATAAATATCAGAGCTTACATACTTTCTCCTTTCGTCCAAAGACGGTGACTTTCCATATGTGTTGCATCATTGCTGGTTCCAGGTCTCCCATGCGAGTCCTCACTAGAGGTCCTTGAGACATTTGATAATGGGAAGGACATCCCATTAAACTCACATGTGGTGGTCTCATCCAGTCCAAGCTGACTTAGTCCAAAACTCATGTTCCAGGTGTCTGCATGGCCGACATCTGAAGACAGCGTTCCGTAAGAACAACTGACCATAACTGATTTGTTCAAAGAGGAGTCACAATATGGTCAAGAAGAAGTAAATGATTTACTGTGTTTGCTGAGTTGTAATGACTGCAACAAAAACTGGATGATCTCAAAGGTCTGCTTTTCAAATATTAACCTGAATTTGATTTATGTGTTATAAATGTGGTTACTATCAACACATACATCTTAATTTGATTGAAAGAGTCATTGATTATAAAGGTCAGTTGTTATCGAGAAGCTACAGTGACACAAATACAGTTATATAAAGTTGCTATAAATCAAGTCAAATTCATTGCAGACGAAAGCCATACACTAATAAAGCAACCTAATAGAGAGTCTGTCTCTGTTTTGCTGCAGTAACTCTACTGGGAAGGCTTTATGCTAGTTGTTGGAACATTGCTATGAGGATTTGATTGCAGTCATAATAGCATGAGTGAGGTCAGGTGCCGATGTTGGATAAACAGTTCTGGATCACTCTAACTCATCCCAAAGATATTGGATGGAGCTGCATCACTCCAGAGAACAAAGTTTTACTGCTACACAGCCCAATGCTGGGGGGCTTTATCCCATGCATTACACTGAGCATGATGATTTTAGGCCCACTTTTAAGCTCTAGAGCATCTCATTCAGTTATTAATGCGTTTCTGTGGAGATCAGATAAGCAATGTGTGGAACTGAGCACCGGTCAGCTATTTATAAAGAGTCACAGTAATGGTCCAAATAGAGGTGGAACCCAACAACTGACTTATACATTCTTCTCCCATGTGTCAAACACAAGATCAGGCCTGCCACAAAATTCAATCCAGCCAGCAGAAGTATTTTAATTTTCTTTTAATATTAGCCCATGTCACAGTGTGCTGCACTTCAATCCCCAACGTGCACTGCAACGTAATGTGCTCCCCAACAACAATCTATGGGACAGTGGTTACATGTTAATTCTACACAATTCTGTGCAACTTCACACCAGTTGTATCACCAAAATGCATTTCAGCTGCAGTTCAACCAATATGAACACTTAACATCAGCTCAGCAGCTTGAAAATTGAGCCCAAGTCTTAATGAACTTGCAGCAAAGAAAGGATGCCAGGTTTCTAGTTCAAGCAGACAGGTAGATTTAAAAGACCCTGGGGACATTTAAATTTTGAATATTTCAAGTATTCATGTAATATTTCAAAGTCTACTACAAGTGTCTGCATTTTACTGTTGAAGTTTTTGCATATTTTGAATAAACAATGGCCAGGTTGGGTTATAGAACAACATTAATTAAAATGAAATAAAAACATTTTTTCTCTGGCCCACAGATTTGATAAGATTTTTTTATATGGCCTTTTTACTGGTTGAGTTTGACACCCCTGGTCTAAACTAAGGCTGCTTGTGTCGGTTAGTCAAAAACCATTGGTTAAAAAGCTGCATATATGGTTGTCTAAGGGAAATCTTAAAGAGTAAACAGACAATGAGTATAGATAAATGGTTTTATTCACTTTAACTTGTACACATCGTTCTCTTCTAGGCCTGATATTTTTTCCATGGAAAAGTTAGAGCCAACTGCCATTGTGTTTCCATGGCAGTAGGTTTTCGGATTGGTACTGAACATGTTGTCATCATGTTAAAGAAACATACACATTAGTGGTGGTAAAAGGAACGTTTAAAACTATCTAGTGTAACTGAGGACTTGGTAAAGATTTTATGCTCAAACTTAAGTATAAACTTACACCAGTGCAACCCAGACCTGGTATTCCCACATGGTCTCCCATCCAAATACTAACCAGGCCCAATCCTGCTTAGCTTCCGAGATCAGACGTTCTCATGGTGGTGTGGCCATAAGTGAGAAACACACTGAAAAGAGCCACATTTAAAAAAGAGTAGACCAGATAATTAGACCAGCCTATCTGGTGAGAGTGATATAGAGATGTATTATGTGCTGTGAAAGAGCTCATACAGAAATATTTAAAGGTGTTTGTGCTATTTGCTATGTGTTATTTTACTACTTGGCCTATATAGTACATTTTCTCAGCATACACACAAATTTTGTTTATACAACGAAATGGTGGCAAATTCATGTTGAAAAAAGAAGCTGACCTGATTTCAAGAGCTTAATGCGCCTGTACGTCTCTGGACACAAACACAACCAGAGCTACAGTTTAGTCAATAAAGGAAATGCCGCCAAAATGAAAGTGAACAAACATACTTACGTGGACGTTATCTGTTCTCTTAAGACCAAACCTGTTGATTTCACATTTATTTGGATGTATTTAGTCAAACACTACAGTAATAATATTAGAATAATGTACTGACAAGAATTTCCATTTCACTCTCGTTATTCATTTAATAATGAAAGTGGATGTGTGTTGTTTGGTCTATATTCAGTTGACTTCATAGGTGGTGATAGAAGAAGAAGGAGGAGAATAATCTCAACACCAATGCCTCCAAAATTTACAGTGCAAAATTGGACTAAGACTATAATATAATAATAATGAAAAATATTTAGGCTACATATTACTAACGAGAATAGTGCATTTTCAGAAAAAAACAGAGAGATTGCGCAGCTTAAGCTATTTGAGAAAGGTTGCTAAGGTGTTTGAGGTGGTTGCTGTCATACCTTACATGGTTGCTAGGGTGTTTATAGGTAGCTGCTGTGGAATTCAAAGTGGTTACTGAGATGTTACTTGGTGGTTGCTATGGTATTCCAGGTGTTTGCTAGGGTGTTGCTAGGAGGTTGCTATGGTATCCCAGGTGGTTGCTGAAGTGTTGCTAGGTGGTCGCTATGGTATCACAGGTGGTTGTTATGGTGTTGCTAGGCGGTTGCTATGGTATCACAAATGGTTACTAAGGTGTTGCTAGGCAGTTGCTATGGTATCCTAGGTGGTTGCTAGGGTGTTGCTAGGCGGTTGCTATGGCATTCTAGGTGGTTGCTAGGGTGTTGCTAGACAGTTGTTATGGTATACTAGTTGCTATGGTGTTGCTAGGGAGTTGCTATAGCATCCCAGATGGTTGCTAAATTGTTACTAGGCAGTAGCCATGGTGTACATTTAAGTGTTTATTAAGTCAGTGTTAGGGGGTTGCGAAGGGGTTGCTATGTGTTGAAAATGAATGAGAGTCTATGAGAGGAACAAGGGATGAAAAAATGACATATAGAAGAGTGCAGGTCAGTATATCTGTGGATTAGAGCTTTGGGGACCTTCCCTGAGTGAGTACATGCAGTTTGGTGGCTGTTGGGCAAAGGAAATATTAGAGTATGTGTGAGGGTGAAAATTAATGGGACTCTATGGGAGAAAATAGGAATGAGAAAAAAATGACAAACAGATGAGTGCTGATCTGAACAATGTTGAATTAGTGATAAGGGGCCTGCCCTGAGATAGTACATGCGAAACCGTTTTTTTTGGTCGAGCACCGAACACCTCTGCCTTCTACACTGTAGACTGGGGTTCAATACCTTGCTCAGGCAAGCACCCTAGACTATACCAATAAGAGTCCTTGGGCAAGACTCCTAACACTACCTTCGCCTACCTGTGTAGATCAAATTGTAAGATGCTCTGGATAAGAGCATCTGCCAAATGCCATAAACAGTAAATGAGCAGACGTACAGTAGATGGATATACAATTTTTTACCCCATTCAAAATTAGTAATTTAACAAAGATCGTATGAAGACCGTATGTCGGATTAAAGAGCTGTATACAAGCACACCAAACATTCCAAAGTTGGAACAGTGTTGTTATCTTAAAAACTATGGGACGAGTCAGTGGACAGAAATGAAGAATGTATATTGGATAACAATAGTGTCACTATTTAAATTTTTCAAAACATAAACAACATATGACTAGGAAACGTTAGGATAACTAATTGGCTTTGGGAATGTGAGCTGTACGAATGAACCAAATATATTCTGTCAAAGTCTATCTATGTTTCTATTTATGTTCTGCTAAGCTAACTAGCTAGTTATTCTAGTGTTAATCCTGCAGGCATTGGTTCATTAGCTCTTAGCTGACCTCACAGTTGTTTTCAGGGACTGATTTCTCTTTACTGTTGGAACTGTAACTCTGAAAGCCCCTAATTAGACACTGTGCCATTCAAATGACCCGACATTTCTGTTTCAGACCCGGTGCAGAGCCTCCAGTTTGGATTGGTGGAGCTGAGTGCTGTACATGAGGAGAACAGACTGCTCAGTAGAGCCCAGGATGAGGTAAATTAGTCATTAATTAGTCAGTTTATTAACATATTTTTATCTGTGTATGTGCTGACTGACCACTAAAATGTATATTGTGCCCCCTTTTGTAGGTGGTCATTAAGGAGAATGGGTGAGCCCATCACCCTGTGCAGAGATCACTTCCCTGTGTGCTCCATCTATGACTCCATCTCAGGCCACACCCAGTTCTCCTCTCTCGGACATGTCCACTTCACGAAAAGCTCTGCCCACTTCACCTCAGTGGACTCTGTCCACTTCTTCATCCTGAACTTTACCCTAGATTCCATCCACTTCTCCATCCTGGGATGGGTCCACTTCTGTTCCTCAGTCACTGCCTGCTTTAGAACCCTCGACTCCATCCACTTCTCCATCCTGGGATGGGTCCACTTCTGTTCCTCAGCCAGTGCCTGCTTTAGAACCCTGGACTCCACCCACTTCTTCCTCCTGGTATGAGTCCACTTCTGTTCCTCAGCCAGTGTCTGCTTTAGAACCCTGGACTCCACCCACTTCTTCCTCCTGGTATGAGTCCACTTCTGTTCCTCAGCCAGTGTCTGCTTTAGAACCCTGGACTCCACCCACTTCTTCCTCCTGGGATGGGTCCATTTCTGTTCCTCAGCCACTGCCTCCTTTATCACCCTGGACTCCACCCACTTCTCCATCCTGGGATTGATCCACTTCTGCTCCTCAGCCCCAGCCAACTTCTCCACCCTGGGATCAACCACTTATTCTGCATTCCAGAGAGGAGACTGCATCTGTCTGTGTGTGGTCAGCCCACCTCACCTCCTCAGCCTCATTCCACCTCTGGTGGTGCCCACCAGGTGCCCGCTTTGTAAGTATTGTGACAGCT